GGCGGGGCGAGGGAGCGTGGCGATGCAGCAAGCGGCGGGGCGAGGGAGCGTGGCGATGCAGCAAGCGGCGGGGCGAGGGAGCGTGGCGATGTAGCCGCGGCGGCACGCGACATCCCATCATCCCCGGTGGTGGTGGAAGCGCGTCGATCCAGCGCTGACGACGCGAGTGGAGCAGTGGCTCCCCCATGCGGCGACGACGACTTTGATCCAGAGCTTCCTCGTCTTGTGTCTGCCGCTGCCGGCGACGACGACGACGATGACGACGATGGCGGCGGCAGCGACGATGGCAGTGAGGCCAGCATGCCGGTGCTCAGTCCCGCAACGACGTACTACCACCCACCCGACGACGATGACGACCGTACGGACGCGCGGTCCCCCGGCAGCGGCGCGGCGGCGATGGAGGCAGGTCGGAGGGAAGAGGAGGAGGAGAAGGAGAAGAAGAGAGAGGAGGAGGTGAGCGCAGTGCTGCAGTCACTGCTGGCTGCTGTGTGCAATGACACGCGGGGTCACACAGAGGTCACATCCGCGGGCGTGGCGTTGCCGCCGCGGCAGGGCGGTGACATCAAGCAGACGCTGACGTCGAGGGACAGGGACGACGCGGCGTCCGCAGGTCCGCTGCCGCTGCGGCGCGGGGAATCCTACGACCTTCCTGTTTGCACGGACCGGTGGCAGACGACGCGACGACACGTGCTGCGTCCGCCGTGTGTGGGCGACGCATCAAGGACATAGAGCTCGGCCGGCGGCGGTGGCGTGGCAGGGGGCGCCACGGTGCTGCCGTAGCCCAGGAGAAGAGGTTGCAGCTGCACGCTCGCGTCGCGGCGGTTGCTACGAGCGGCAAGCGGCGGGGCGAGGGAGCGTGGCGATGCAGCAAGCGGCGGGGCGAGGGAGCGGCGATGCAGCAAAAGCGGCGGGGTGAGGGAGCGTGGCGATGCAGCAAGCGGCGGGGTGAGGGAGCGTGGCGATGTAGCAAGCGTAGACGTGCGACAGTACATGTACAGTGCATGTAGGTAGTCGGCCGTACGACGTGTGCTGTCTTAGTTCTGTCGCTGACTGTAGTGCTGTATACCGCCTACCGTGAACATGTGTATGCTGTTACACTAACATGATAGGGGTGGGGTTTTGATTTTAGTAGTACATTACGAGTTAGCTGACTGGGCTGGTTCATGTGCGATTACGTGTAGTGCTATGTGTGTGATAGCCGTAGCAATTTTAGATGTTAGTTCTATGATTAGAGCGTATAAGTGCTAAGTTAAAGCTACAAAGTGACGACGTGTGATGTTTAAATCAAGTTTAAAACATGAGAACTGCGTGACATACGTAACATCATAAACATTTATTCGTGCACTCGCGTGAAGTAACTCTCGACATACCTATGGTAACACCCGAATCGTTGCCGCAGAAAACACATGATGTGCCCCATCTGTCGCTACGGAACCAACTGCAGCACAGCGTTCGCCGAGCACGTTCTGATGTCACACGGAAACAAGCGAACAGCGTCTGACCAGCGTCTGCTAGAGAAGGAGTGGGCGTGTGCCTGCGGCTTCACAACGAATCTTGGCAATGCCCTCGGTAAGGACGCGTACGCTAGCGATAGCTTTATACTTACTGCTGTTTATACGTGACTGTTATAAATTACATAAATATCTAATCTGAGATTATAAAATAAATTTCAAAAGGAGGCAAGGCTAGAAGTATGACATCTCGTGTACAATCGAAGGCCAGGTAGGAAAAAAAGACTACAAGTAGTTTAGTTTCCAGTGGCCCATTGTCAGAAACAAAATTAGTCTTAACATTAGTCTCGACATTAACTATTTCTCCTAGACCGTTGAAAGAAACGGTGCATAGAGGTCCGCTCTACGATAAAAAGTTGTGACTGATGTTGTTTCTGACATGGCCCCTGGACGTTGACGCATGAGTATCAAGTGACAATGAGACACCTTTCCCTGGATTATGGCTAGTTTCATTAAAACATGAAGCGAAACGTTAGGAAAATTGATCGTGTCGAAAACGAATCAGATTGCAGTGGGCTGAACAGAATTTTTGCTCTGTCCACGTCGTGTTACACAATGTCATTTAGAATTTGGCCCCCCCACGCTATGGCCACTTGGGGATAACTTGAAAATAAAACCATAAGTTCTTAACAAATGTCAAACGAGACTGAGGACTAACTGTCTTTCAGCATCACACCTCATGGAGTGTGGATCGGGGACGGCGTATCGAGGACAGAAGCTGCGCCGCTACGTCACGCGCGCTTACCCTGGAAACCCGGATGGGATCTTCCGCAAGAGCCTGTCGTTGCTCGCCTCCAGGGACCCGGCTGGTGCAGCGATCGTCACCGACGCTGAGGGAGACGCGACGGACGGTGAATCGCGACGCATCGAGTCAGTCACCGACGGTACGTACGGCTGCGATGCGCATCACTCGGCGACGTGAACAGACTCTACGACTTTAACAGCAATGTAAAGCTGAGATGTGAGGCCACCAGTAGATACGCGTTAGCGATAGTACGAGTGGCGTGTACTCATAGTCGTGGTCGTGCCACGTCCATGTGGAAAAGCTCACGTTTTCACAAAGCTGTTTATGCAAGTGCTGCGATATTTGTGCGTAATTTCGTGATGTTTTTGGTTTAGGGTATCTTGCGGTGGTGGCGGGATGGAGAGATCGACATTCCGCAGGCAAGCAGTGCCGTGCGATGTCGCATGACCCTGCGCCGTCCGCCGCCCGGCAGACAGACAGCCGAAGCTTCAAACGCAGACGAATCAGACGATTGTGGTCACCGAGGGAAACACGAGAATGTGCGGCTGACGATGAAACGCACATGAGGTTTGCCATCAACTTCTATTATCACTCTGTCGTTGCTTATGCTAAGTTACTAGTGGACATGATGATTAGAGGTGTTTCTGTACACACTCTGGAATACTCGGGGGTGATCTTTCGTCCTCTTCTGTAGAGTATGCCAAAAGTCTAACCCTTATTCGACTTTACCTCAGGTTCGTTCAACATGCGCTAATATATTCCAGTACTTGTCTATCATTAATCCAAATACTTGTGTTGTAGGTGTGAAAATGACGCAGAGCACCCGGATGCCAGGCCACCGCTGATCACAGCTGATCCAGCAGGGGGCGCCATTGCAGATCGGGCGATCAACAGTAACCATCCACGCGTCAATCTTCCTGCCTCGCTCCTCCACGCCTCGGCAGCAGGGGGCGCCTCCGCAGACTCGCCACGTTTCCGCGGCTGCTGCTCGGCGAACGCTGCCGTGCGTCATGACAAGTGCGACTTCCTCTCCCGCGTGCGTCTCTGCTCCCTCCCCGGCGTCGTCTCTCCCGCGCGACGCCCCCGCGGCGGTGAAGCGTGGGGGGGACACCCGCGCAAGCGCGTCGGTGTTCACCGGCAGCCGCAGGGCAGCGAGGAGGAGGGGGAGGAGGAGGGGGAGGGCTCGTGCACGGACCGGTGGCAGACGACGCGACGACACGTCGGCTGCGTTCCCGCGCCGCTGTGGGGCGATGCCATCAAGAACATAGAGCTCGGCGGCGGCGGCGGCGTGGCAGGGGGCGCCACGGTGCTGCCGTACCCGGAGGAAGAGTTGCAGCTGCACGCTCGGCTCGCGGCGGTGTGCTACGAGGCGGCAAGCGGCGGGGCGAGGGAGCGTGGCGATGCAGCAAGCGGCGGGGCGAGGGAGCGTGGCGATGCAGCAAGCGGCGGGGCGAGGGAGCGTGGCGATGGCAGCAAGCGGCGGAGCAGAGGAGCGATGGCGACTGGCAGCAGCGCGCGGCCGGGGTGAGGAGCGTGGCGATTGCAGCAAGGCGACGGGGCGCGGAGCGTGGCGATGCAAGCCAAGCGGCGGCGAGGGAGCGTGGCGATGCAGCAAGCGGCGGGGCGAGGGAGCGTGCGGATGCAGCAAGCGGCGGGGCGACGGATCGTGGCGATGCAGCAAGCGGCGGGCGAGGGGAGCGTGCGATGCAGGCAAGCGGCGGGCGAGGGAGCGTGGCGATGACAGCAAGTGCGCGGGCGAGGGGAGCGCTTGGCGATGCAGCCGCGGCGGCACGCGGACATCTCATCATCCCAGGCCGCAGTGGAAGCGCGTTCGATCTACGCGCTGCGACCGAGTGGAGGCAGTCGGCTCCCCCAATGCGGCGACGAGCGACTTGATCGGCCAGTTTCCTCGTCTTGGTGTCGCGGCCGCTGCCGGCGACGACGACAGACGGACGCGATGGCGGTTGCACGATGATGGCAGTGAGGCAGCATGCCGGTTGCTCGTCCCACACGACGTTACTACCACCCACCCGGACGACGATGACGACGCGTACGGTATCGCGCAGATCCCCCGGCCGGCGGGCGCGGCGGCGATGGAGGAGGTCGGAGGGAAGAAGCAGGAGGAGAAGGAGAAGAAGAAGAGGAGGAGGTGAGCGCAGTGCTGCAGTCACTGCTGGCTGCTGTGTGCAATGACACGCGGGGTCCACACGAGGTCACATCGCGGGCGTGGCGTCGCCGCCGCGGCAGGGCGGTGACATCAAGCAGACGCTTACGTCGAGGACAGAGAGCGATGCGGGCGTCGCAGGTCCGCTGCCGCTGCGCGCGCGGGGAATCCTACGACCTTCCCCCGCGTCATCGACGTGCGGACGAGGAGGAGTACGACGTGGAGGAGGAGTCCCATCACGCGGTGGCGGCGGCGGCGAACGCTCGGGGAGGTCTCGCTGATAATCCGTGCAAGGTGACGGGCGCTCTGCTCAGGTCCGCGTTGAGTCACGGGCCGGTCACCGGCGCCCCCTGCACGGTGAACGACGGCGGTCGTGCGAGCGTCACCGGCGCCCCTGCACGGTGAAGCGACGGCGGTCTCGTGCGAGCGTCACCGGCGCCCCCTGCACGCCTGAACGACGGCGGTCGTGCGAGCGTCACGCGGCGCCCCTGCACGTGAACGACGGCGGTCGTGCGAGCGTCACCGCGGCCCCCTGCACGGTGAACGACGGCGGTCGTGCGAGGGTCGGTGAGCCGCGGAGAGGAGACGAGATCTGCAGTGACGTGGATGCGAGCGGTGGATTGGACGAGCGGAGCGACGGACACATCCCGCGCACTTCCGTCGCGAGCGTGATTCTAGGTTCGCTGCTCGACCGCGCGGCGTGCCGCATGACAGCGTCACCGCAGCGTGAGGTGACACGCGGGTCGATCGGTGACGGCGCGGGAGTGTCACCACGTCACCACAGTCTGAGGTCACACACCTGTGGGTCGGTGTCACCGCCGGTCGTGTCACCGTGTCACCGCAGCATGAGATGGCCCTCGCTACGGCGGCCCTTGAAAACGACGGAATCTTCTCCGAAGAAGAAGGAGAAGAGAGAAATCTCACCGGGGCAAGTCTGTGCGTACGGGAGCGTGCGGAGGAAGCTCCCGGGGTTGTACACGCGGCGCGGGACGCGGGCGGGGCGGCGACGACCCACGACGATCGGCGGCGGCGGTGGCGGTTACCATGCGACGACTAGTGGAACGCGGTGGCGGCTTCAGTCGGCAGCGCAGCATCCTCAGATCCAGTCATCATCGTCACGGCAACGCGGTGGCGGCTCACTCAACAGCGCAGCATCCTCAGACTCCAAGTCATCATCGTCACGGCGACGCAGTGGCAGCTTCACTCGGCAGCGCAGCATCCTCAGACTCCAGTCATCATCGTCACGGCAACGCGGCATCCTCAGACTCCAGTCATCATCGTCATGGCGACGGCGTTGGCGACTTCACTCGGCAGCGCGGCATCCTCAGACTCCAGTCATCATCGTCACGGCGACGGCGACGGTGTGGGGCGACGCGTTGGCGTTGGCGGACCACGGCTACAGCCTGCCACCCCCGGGTTCGGCCGCCAGCAGGAGATACGCGGAGACGAAGCGATCTCTGCGCAATCGCGCGCGAACATTCATACGCCATCGTCATGGACAACGAGGAGAGGCACAGCTGGCGGGCGGAGGAGGCGGAGGAGGCGGAGGAGGGGGAGGAAGGGGAGTTTCTGCCGGAGGGTGGTGGCCGTGTACGGAGCGGACGAGCTACAGCGGCTCAACAGCCCGCTCATAGAGCTGCACCGGCGGCGCCACCACGCGGAGTCCAACGACAACGACGACGAAGCGCCGTCGCCGCCGCCGTCAGCGAACGCTCGCCAGAGGACGCTGGCGCCGGTGAGAGGCGTCGCCGGGGTGTCGCTGCCGCGGGGGTGGGGACAGGCAGCTTGTAGCGGCTTCCTCTGGACATGCTCAGGAGCGTGCAGGCGGCCCGCGAAGCCAACCAGATGATCACTCTGCTGCTCGTCGACAAGAACACGAAGACTGCGCAAACCGTCGCCGTGGTAGCGGACGACCCCGAACCGCCGTCACCGGGCAACGAGGAGGGCGCCCGCCGCGCGCGCAGGCCGGGCGTCCCCACCGTCCTGAGCTGCGCGACGCCGCGAGGTGCTCCACACCCAGGCGGCACCGCGCGAGCTGCGCGTTGAAACCCGGCGCCCCTCGTGGCGGCAGGGGTGAATGCCCGATCGGCCGCGGCAACGACCGCGGTGCGGCAGGCGTGATGCCGTCGCCGCGGCAACGACCGCTGGCGGCGGCGGGAAGTCTGCGGCGCGGCCGGCGCGGTGGAAGCGGACTGTGTACGGAGCGTCGTCGCAGGCCGACCCTAACTACACGACTACGTTCATGCGCAGCGTCGTGGACTACGTGACGTCCACGCGCGCCAAGGTGGACGACGCCGCCGCCACGTTCAACGTCCCCGCGCCGCTGCTCCGCTCGTGGCTGCTGCCGCGCGGCGTTCCCGCACGACCCTCCTCCTACGCCAGGAGGAGGAGGGGTGAGGAGTCTTCCTCGTCGCGTGGCGGGGGGAGAAGGTCGGAGTCTCCGTCGGCGGCGGCGACGGAGGGAGGGGACGGCAAGCTGGCGAATCGCTCGCACTACACGACCGAGTTCAAGATCACCGTGGCGAGGTTTGCGAGTCGGCGCGGTCGCGCGAAAGCTCGCAAGGCGTTCTGCGTTCCCTCGAGCACAATCTCACGCTGGCTCATGATGGGCTTCCACCGGTGCCGCCGCAGCGGGGAGCCCGAGGAGGAGGAGGGGGAGGCGCTAGAGAGGAAGGTCTGCAAGAGAGAAGGGGACGTACTAGAGAGGAAGGTCTGCAACAGCGACTCGAGCAAAGCCAAGATTCCGGATGCGAAACGCCAGCCTCCCTCCGCAACTGCCACCAGACCTATCCCGATCGCTTGTGAGGTGAATGCGACAGCACCTGCTGCTGCTGTTAGGACGCGTGATCGGGTGTCAGAAATCCTCGATCCTAGCGACAGGAAACACGCTTCGATGCAGATTCGTTCCGATTCAGTGTTGGTGAATGCCGCTAGACTAGTTCGCTCGGTCGCGCCCGGCGTGTCTGTTGTTTCGAACAATTCGGCGCAAAACCAGGCTGGTGCAGTGACGCATTTCTCCATCTATGTCCAGCCGACGAATTCAGGTGCGATAAAAAATGTCGTTTGCCCAACAGTGAAATCGAGCATCGTGGAAAACGCTGTCGCAGCAACGGATACGTTAAAACCGAATGATAAAGTACAATTACTGTGCATCAAGAATCTAAGGAAAAGCGATAGGCAAGACAATGCGAATATTGCCGGATCGCCGGGTAAAAAAGCTTTGACTATAATGACGCCGATATCAGTGAAATATAAGGGTCAGCAAATGGGAAACGTGAACATTAAAACGCTGCCGGTCAAGCGTGAATGCGTGCACCAGGCGCCGTGTGGGGCGATGAAGATGGAGAGAAGTCCAAGCGAGGCAGCAGTGGGTGACATCAGTCGTTGCTCGACGAAGAAACACAAACCGGAAACCCACGACCCGCCGAAGCTGCCGTCCCCGCACGAAACATCTCAGCAGCAGCAGCCAATCACGAACGCTCTCACCGTGACATCGAAGTTGGAAGACACGCGCAGGAGGTTACGACCGTTACGCTGTGCGGCGGCTACGCCGGCGCCTTCTCCCCGCGTCGCGAGGAAGCGCACCGCCATGAGAGGCACCGTGGCGGCCCCTGGCGGGGCGGCGGCGATCGGCACGAAGCGGAGGCGGACAACGAGCGGAGGGCGCGACGGCAGCGTTGCCGCGGCGACCGACGACTCTGCGGCGGCGGAGAGTTTCGTCGTGCAGAAGAGCAGCGGCTTGAAGCTGACGCTGAAGATGAAGAAGGAGGAGGATGGAGAGGGGGAGACCCCGCCTCCTCCTCCTCCTCGGCCGGAGAAGCAGCGGAGGAACCGTGCTCGCAAGTCGTTCTCGTGGAGCGTGCGCATCGCCGCCGCCAAGTGCGCGTTCTACAAGGGCACCGCGGAGGCTGCACGCACGTACGGGGTGAACGCGGGCACGCTGGGAGACTGGGTCATGACGAGGCTGTACGAGTACGACGTCGCCGACGCCACCTGGCTGGAGAATCGTCGCTACACGGCGAGCCAACGCAGCGAGGTGGTGCAGTATGCGACGCGGCGCGGCGTCACCCGCGCCGTACGCAAGTACAAGCTTCCGCCGGGCACGGTGCGAGGGTGGATCGGCATGCAGCAGAAACTGGACAGGGAGGCGGGGCGGGCGAAGACGGGACAGCAACCCACGCAGCCTGAGACGGGACAGCAGCCCACGCAGCCCACGCGGCAGCCGCACGAGCTGAGACGGGACAGCAGCCCATGCAGCCTGAGGACGCGGCGACGACGACGACACCGGAGTGATCGACGGCAGTGATTGATCGATTGAGGGGGGTAATTGATTAATGGGAGTGAGTCACAGAGTGATTGAGTGATTAATGGAGTGAACGATTGATTGATTGGCAGAAGTGATTGACAGTACTTAGTGAATGATGAGTGATTGATTGATTAATTGATTGATTGATTGATTGATTGATTGATTGATTGAGTGAGTGAGCAGTGTGTTCCAGAAGCGAGTGTAAATAGATTTCGGACTTGGCGCGTCTGTGTGCCGTGTTCACTGCTTGCATGCTATTTAAATTGCATGCCGAATGAAATGCAATCCCGGGGGTTCGCAAGAGTGAGATAATTCAATAGGAAATTACTGGTGGTGCCATAGAATTGCTCCAAGTGTATCAGAGAAACAATTCGACAAAGGAATGTGCAATCAGTACATAGATGTACTGTAATTATAACATGTATAATTTATAAGGTTTGTAAGTACCACACTTTATGCAACGTGCTACGATAGGATTTGTTTGTAGACAGTATGCCTCAGCATTTACATCAGCGCGTTTTCATGTGAACCTAGTTTTTGTTTGTTATGGACTCAAACCATATAAAATTAAGCCTATGGTAGTTGGACAAGTTGTTTCCTTTGGTCTTTTTTAGGGGTTAGGTAACCTTTTTTGAAGGTTTAACGTGACATTTACGAGGTGATTTGCTAGACATGTCACATGCATTCAGGGTGTCTTCGCACTTCTGTCGAAATTTAAAAGTTAACAACACTTGTAAGCATTGTTGTGTGTTTGCTGCTATCACCGCTGCGATTTCCTCTTGCGAATTCAATGAGCTTAATTACTGCCATTAACCAAAACTGCAAGTCTAGACGTGATTTTTGATTTTGAATTTAATTTGCTCTTATGTAGAGTACATGTGCATCTATCTCATTTCTAGTTTTTTTTGCAATGCCATAACCTTGTATTGTAAAAATGGTTCTTTTGAAAATTATTTTTAGGAGTTTTACTGTGATTTTCTTCTAGATATGTTGCCCTGGTGATGTTCCTCCAGTGTTTACGCTGGTAATAAGAACATGTTCAGTAGTGTCGTTGTCTTCACAGTGTAACGGGCAATCACCCAAGAGAAGTGGTGTCACAAAAATGTGGAGTGTATAGCTTGCTTCAATTCGCAAGTAATATTTCCTGCCATTTCTGCTACGACTATATGTTTTGACAACGATTGTGTAACATATGTAAATTAAAAAGTATAGAGTATGATGTTGTATTATTGTTACATAGATGTTGGTAGCATAAATGTTTATAAAATGACAGTCTCAGTGGCTCAGTTTTGTATATTCTTCTTACATTCTCTCTATAGCAACCATGACCAAATCGCTCGCTATACATGTTCATAAACCAGACAGTCAAACCTGTATGTAAACATAACTCGAGCATGCAATTTTTGTCGAAAGTGTCATTTTTTCGACAGGTTTCCGGTCTGTATAGGTGTTAGTATAGTGTTAGCTCTACCCCTGTAACCCCTTCAGGGTAGTGAATGGGGGACATGGGTGGAGCTATAGAGCTGTGTGCTAACACACCGCCATCCCTATTATCTCCAATGACGGAAGAAAAACATGGTACATATATACATCATTTGCAACAAAATATTTATTAAGAAACCAAAAAATATAGAAAAACCAAAATAATGTGTATGTGAAAAAAATAAAGTAACAAACATTATGCTCTATTAGTAACACACATTAGTTTTGTAACAAAATTATCTGATTATATATATATCGCCCAACCCGGCTTAACATGGCTGCCACTGTGGCTGCTTTGTTGCCATGACAACAGCCCTTCATATGGAGGTTGATGTGCCACATTGAAGGTCACAATTTCAAGCTCCATCAATAGTATAATTATAAACTTTTTACGAATTGACAACAAAATATCTCTGAAAAAAAATATAATCTTATAACGTTAACATACAGGATATATGCACAACGTAACTACTTGTGCCTTCTCTGGGCATTTGTGGAAATTATATGATCATTAAACACAAATTGCCCCCGTTTCATCAAATGCCTGTCCATTGAACGGTCCACGGTCATTGTTCGTGTAAAGCTTTCATCAACTGTTGTTCACCTGACTATAAAATGCAGCAATTCTTCCCTTTTGCCCATACGCAGGTGTCTGCACACGTACCATGTAAATCCACCATGTAAAACTATTTCTTTGATATTGTACTGCTGCAATATAACTAAAGGCTGGTACAATTCACGCTCAGTACCGTGTAAAACTAGTCGCTATATACTTACAAGCCCTATTGGAAGCACACGTCGTTAGTGCTTCTGTATTGGCTTTGGTCCCAATGTGAAACTGTCCACATTTAGCTGGTAGAATGCAGCAGTGATAGAGTCAAACTAACGCACATACCATCTCGGGAGAGACAAAAGACACTCTTCATACAGAATCGCCGATTTTCTACCGCACTGCTAAACGAAATCAAAACGTCAGGGCAACAGTCAACTGCAAACCTTCACACAAACTACCAAAAAAGTGTACCAAAATCTGCATGGGTCTTAATTATACAGTCTTCGTCATCAGCAATTAAAGATGAACAACTGCTACCGTTGCGCATCTCATTGCTCCTTGTCGTCGTTAAAATTTCTTCGTTATAATAACAATCCGAGCCAAGCCACGTGCTACACGACAATACTATGATATCAATTCTAAAATGGTGATGCTCAATTCTGCAGGAATAAAGCTTACGTTTCTACTTGAAAATGAGGCGTAAGATTTCTGTAAACATAAAATCTGCTCAACAATTTTAACACGTCTGTCTCGAAGCGCTTAATATTCTAAAAGTCTATAATTACACGTGTAGCAAATTTTACCTCAATTCTACTAAAGAATGATACAAACAAATTTCAAAGGTAAAACGTACTGTTTAAGGACCCAATTGCAATGATTCCTAATTGATGTTTAAACCTCCACTTAAAACGGTGCAAAGGCGAGAATTAGACAGTTAAAACACGAGAAGTGTGAAAAGTTAAAAATGCAAGATTAATAAAGGGTTAGGCTAACCTACTAAACACGTTCACTGCAATGCTTTGTGCGATGGGTTATTGTAAAAGCACGTAATTTGTCCAATCCAACTTCCCAGTGTAAAACAAGAGCATGTTTATAAAACCATGCGTTCAGTAGCTTTTGTCTAGGAACCTATTATAAAACTGAATACAAAGATACGCACTAGGACCAGTGAACTATAAACTACTCAAAGGGCCATGTGAAAGTTTTTCTCAGTTTTAAGAGGAAGCTTTCTATATAAAATACGTGAGAGCACTGAAAAGCCACGGGAAACCTGAAAGCATATAAGCCTGTATGCAGAATGGTCGTAAGCAAATTAGCAGTGAACATTGGTGATGTTAAAGAATGTTAATAATAAAGCCTGGTAAAAACCTAGTCTGGTTAGCTATAAAAGTGATAATCTATTAACAATTCGTGCTAAAAGTGTTATTGTTCCACAAAAACACCCAAGCCCGGCCTGCTGTCTGGCAATCTCTCTCGTAAGTTATTCAATGCCATCGCCGGTTTCCGAGGAGATTGAAAGAGAGCGGACCGCAGCTCGAATTACACAAGTATTTCATTCGGAGCTAAAACCTTATAAGAGATGATTTGTGTGGAAACGTCTCAACAATCAACGACAATCAATCAAAGGAACTACACACACACGCGCGCTCGTTTGTCACGTAACGGCTTTCTGCTAAACCAAGCGCAATCAACATATTATACTTCAACGTTCACATCTACAATGTGCATGATTTTACGCGTCAGGTATCTAACCAACCTGCCATGAGAACACCATTTTAACGACAGCACACGCAACAACGACTGGATCATACACAAGCATACTACAATGTGCCTTATAGAGCAGATTATCGCTTAAATTAAACTGTCAAATGTCCATCCATCCATCTCTCTCGTAAATCTCACAAAATCATATGATTAGACACTCACTAAATATCTCATGTGGGCATGAGTGCTACGCACGTCTATCACCGCCTGCTCATGCGAAGAGCAGCAGACGCCGCGAGGAAGCGATACGCATGACATTCCTGCGCATCTGCTGCTGTTGCCGGCAGTCTTTACTGTCGATGACCGGTGCTTGGCAGCATCCTTGAGAACACCTTGACATCACCTTGACGTCAGCTTGACGTCACCTTGAGATCACCTTGACATCACTTGACATCCCCTTGACGTCACCTTGAGATCACCTTGACATCACCTTGAGATCATCTTGAGATCATCTTGACATGACCTTGACGTCACCTTGGTGAGCACCATCACCTACGTGACACGTTAGGTTAAAAACTAATCAAGCGGTGATTTTCATCTGGGGCGATTCTTACGTCGCGTGTTGAAATGGAGGCACCACGCGCTTCTGGACCAATAGCAAAGACCGTATATAATAGATGGTATAGTCGTTCTGCCTGTCACGTTAACCTCGTGTCCCACGCACGACGCTAGCACCGACCAATAGCTGGTGACGCAGCAATTGCTGAAGATTCAAGGTGATTAACCGTAGATGGGACCCTTGTGCTTATACTTGCCTCGTTGCAAGTGTACGAAACGAGACGACTAGTTGTAAATCGCTGCACAATCAATCTTCACAACCGTCAATCTTCAGATCGCTCAAGCCCTCTGTCTGTCCTACCGCGTCTCATTCTATTCTCTACGTCGATCCATCCATCTCTCTGCCACTGGCTGCCTCTCTCATTCATGACCAGCTCATCACTGCTTGCCTCCCTCCACACACCCCTCACTTCTATACACATAAACAGAAGAGCTGACGCTCTTACTCCCCCCTCCCCTCCCCGGGGACATCAGCCCGCCCGCCGCGCGCTTGATACGCACCTTCCGACCGCCTCTAACCGCCGCGACGACGACGACGACGACAGAGTCACAGTCCGGCGGTCGTCGTGCTGTTCTTGCTGTTGCGCATGAGTGGCTTGTGGTCCTTGAGCACGTCCGCGGAATGCTGCCAGAACCAGCAGCTGCGGCAGAAGTACTTGAAGCACATCGACTCTCGGCAGAAGTACGGTCCCGGCTGCGTCTGACACTGCGTACACATAGAGTCCTCCAGGTATGGGTCTACCTGCACCTGTAAGCATGAATACATAGGTAAGTAAGTACGTACGCAAGTATATATGTACGTATGTATGTACGTATACATGTACGTACGTATATAAGTGACTTTATAAGAAGTAATGTGTGAAATAATTATAATAGTAAGTACAGAAATGCATGTATACATGTACATATGTATCTGTATATAATTATATATATAAATATATATACATATATAAGTGACTTTATAAGTAGTAAGTGAAGTAATTATAATAGTAAGTACAGAAATTACTATATATATACCTTCTTGGAGAACTTGGGAGTTTTGATCTCTATGAATGCAGCTGAGACAGCTTTCGAGTAACTCTTCATATTGTTAAATGTGACTCTTCCGGAACCTGTGACATTAATTACATGTATACCACGAGAAATTAAAAGCCACAGAATGAAATAATGACACTACCTTAGATGGTTTTCTGTCAATGGGAGCAGAAAAGCAGCAGAATAATTTTTTAACTCACCACACTATTAGTAATTTCACATACATACGTTCTACAGGACTTTTATGTACATGTGCTCTAAACCCTTCAACGAACATTTAGTACCCTATGAATGACCAAATAAAATAACAACGATCTACCTTTAACATATTTATCTTACCTTTGATTAGTTAGAGATTCAACTAGAATATGTACACATGTATTCGTACAAAGATACCACACGCTTGCACGTAATTGTAGGAAAAAAATACACACGCACGCACGTACTTGTACGAAGAAGATACACACGCTCTCATGTACTCGTACAAAGAAGACACACACGTGCGCGCTCCCACGTACCGATCGGATATTTGTATTTGTCGGTGTCGATGCCGGCATAAACAACGCCTCCGAACAGGTCGTTCATGATGTGAGCGAGTCCCTCAGCGTTCAGCATGCCATGCAGCGCACCCACAAACACCGTGCGCGACGGGTCGAGACGCTGCGACGGACAGCGCACGTAGTTACTGTCGGACACCACCCACGGAATCACCTGCACCTGTAAGGAAACACACGGGCGCGGTCTCAGACGCAGAAACAGAAGGCGGGGTTGCAGTCTTAGCTGCATGCTCGCAGAAAGAATGGAATGTTTCAAAACAGGTGGGGGGGGCAGAACACCTAAAACAGAACACACGGGCGAGGTCTCAGACACATGATCGCGGAAGGGATGGAATATTTGGAAACAGGTGTCAGGGGGAGAGGAACAGAACATACTGTGTGTAACAATACTATGTGTGAGGATAACCTTGGAGAAATATTTTGTTCTTGTGCTTGGTCTTATACTAGGGGGCCGCTGTTTGTGCAACGCATATTTGAGCAAAATTTTGTGCTTTTTATCACAAACACAGCTGTAAGCTATGGATTTTTGGTGATAAGAAGAGATCGACTACTGAGCAAGTGACTTCATTCACTAAAGTTGACATCGACACAGTGTTTGAGCGTCTTTTTAGCTCTACCTCCTTGCTGCGCATCCTTCGGCTGGAGATCTTGAAGTACCAGTCGCCGCCGTTGCTGAAGTCGTGGGTGCAGGACTGCAGCAGTGCCTTCACACACTTCTCATTGTCAAACAGGATGTACACGTAACCGGCTGCAAAACGTACATCGAATCACACATCATTGCAATGAACCGCTACCAATTATAACCACAAATTACAAATGAACTCCTACGTTTACATTACGTGAGGCCGCATCCTTGAATGCAAAAGCCAGCAATTAAGACATTGAATCTACGTACAGGACTACTACATGGTGTCCCTGATGGAGAATTGAATCATCAGAAAGACAGCACAGCAGAGAAAACATTTATGCTGGCTATACACTTGCCTTTAGGCGGGTATCTTGGATGCTTGTTGTCCTTGCCGGGCCATTCGATCCTCACCGGTCCAAACGCGCGGTAGGCGTTAGCGAGTCCCACCTCTGTGATGTCCCAGGGAACACCACCGAGGAAGACTTTGCAAGAGTACGTTGGATTCTTGTAAGACTTAGGAGGCAGCTGACCGCTCCAAGTACATGTGGCTTCACAGATCGCTGTGAGAAACAAATCCCAAACAAGTTAAACGGGGAAGATTTTATAGCAATGACCAACTAGTAAGCTTTAGGTTTTTTAGCCATTAATCTGTGCACAAGATTCAATAATATTCCACACGATTGGCCTCACAGGTGTGACTTTGTATTTACAGTAACATTTTAAACAAAATCATTTGATTATCCACGTGCAGTGAAGTAATCCTATCATATTGAATAACAAGTGAGGTTCTATAATCTTCACTCTCCCAAGAGCTGATGAAACTTTTCGTTTCAGAAAGCACTGATGAACACACAGTTACTCGTTTATGCCCAAGTACGCACAGGCAGCATTACGATAGAGCTTACTATAGCAATTACTACTAAGATTATGACTTCAGAAAGCACTAGCAGTGATTGTTACGTTAGTCTGTGAGTACGTACAGCAGGCAGCAATGCTGCATTATGATATAGCATGAATACATACAGGCGGCATTACGATAGAGCTTCGCAGAGATGTAGGGATCGTGGTTAGCTGCGCTGAACAGCTGAGTCAAGCTCGCCCAGCGGCGATCCGCCGACACATTGTTGTAACTCGTCTGCTGCACGGCGAACGGGTTAACCTCCTTCTGAGGGTTCTGTCGGTAGTCCTGCGGCTGCTGCCTGTAGTCCAGGGTGTCTCGCATGCCGCGTATCGGCCGGCTCGCCACGGTAGGCATCTGCTGCTGCTGCTGCTGCTGCTGTTGCTGCTGTTGCTGCTGCTGAGGATGTCCGAGGGCCGACGCACCGATGCTGAGGTTTCCCTGCAAAGACAAGTGAGCAATGCATTGTCAATGATGTTGCGCATCGTCGTCATTGCCGTGACGATGAACAATGCGTTGCCGAGTGATCGCGTAGGCAGACGAAACGCGGCGACAAATCGAACTCGATGCCACAGAGCGTGTAACGTTTCACATACGCGCGCACGTGGCAGGTTTCCGCGCGTGCGTTCTCGCTTACCAGAAGCTCCGAGATGGAGTTATCGAGGGAGGCGCTGCCGGTGCCGCCGGACGCTGCGCTCATCTGAGAGTGGGAGCTCAGGTAGCTGTTGTCGGAGTCTGCGGGGGAGACGGACCTCCCGTCTCTGAACGGCGGCGTCGTCGGCATCACAGCACGGTTGTAGAGGTAGTCAAGCGAAGACGAGTTCACGGGGCTGCTATAGTCACTGCAGCTGCAAGGAGGGAAATAACCGGCCTGCTATAGTCACTGCAGCTGCAAGGA